TGCTGCCGGGGGGGACCCGCCCCCTCGACCCCCCTCCTCCTCCGGGCTCATCTCCTGCTTTTGCTGCGTGTACGTGGAATTTTGGAAGGGCGCGCCGTGTTGCTGCTGTCTCTGCTGATGCTGCTGATGCTGGTGCTGTTGCTGCTGTTGATGGGCCGCCACCAGCTGCTGGTAGAGCTGATGTTGCCCGATCGCGGTCGACGTGTGTTGTTGCAGATGCGAGGGAGGAATGTTGTGGTTCTGAAGGTGGTACTGGGGGGGATGAGGCTCACTGGAGGGCATCACCCCAAACGTGAGGCGGGCGCCAGCCTCACATCACCTACGGCGCCTGCGCCTACACTCTCTCGACTTCCTCTTCCTCTTCTTCTCCTACCGTATGTCGCACTCCCCACCCCCTTCGTTCTCTCTCTATCCGTCCAAATCTGGTCTCCACCGCCGACAGATAATTCTTTGCTAGCTACCCCGACACAACCCCAGGTCGTACCTGTAACAAAGAATAGAAATTTATGTTTAGTAAGATATCGTCGAATTTAATCCGTTATTAAGTTTTTCTATGATATAGACAAATAACTTCTTACATTGTACCTATAAAAGTATTATTATATTAGAACATTATTAAAGTATAGATTTAGCATGTTTTATTTTCGTAATTCTAAATTGATACCAGGTGTTTGGTCCTGACCGGATGTACAAGAATCTAGCTCGCAGTCCCAACGAAGAATGATTTCGCGGAGGAACATTACTAGATGGTCTAGTCGGTTAATCCGGGCAAACAGAGGCGGTCTAAAGGACAGTGGAAAGATAGCGAAATACGTAGAAAACGTCGGCAAGCTGCGTGTACAGAGGATCAAGGCTGCGGTGCCGGGTACACAAAGCGGAAGGAGACTCGTCATGGCGACACAAGGCGTCCTATGTTCGGATTACCTGAACCCTCGTCGTGGACCCAGCTGTATTTACAACTAAGCGTCGACCAAGCTTATCTATCGATTGAATATCGATGTCCCTCTTTAACTCTCGTACAGGCGTACAACGAGAAACATAACGGAAAGAAATCAACTATCGATGAATGGTCGCTGTTGTACGATTAAAAACGCTCCTTTTCTAGCCTGTCCTAGATTCTCCCCTATTTCTAGCAATAAAGGGACAATCTCGCCATCATGGCAAACAAACGGAAACACGCATAAATCCATAAAGTCACGTATGTATCTATAAAAGCTTCTACTGTTCTATTTTGGCATTCGAATTTCGAGGACACGTAGATCTCGCGATGGCGAGGATCACCGTGAGATATCGCCTTCGGAAGTATCACTATGCCGCGGTGTCTACGTGAATTCGAGATTACACGCGTGGATTGCTCGAGGCAACGAGCATGCGTCTAATCATCCAATCCCAATTACGCGGTCTCGGTGATCGCGGTTCAAAAGACGACCGCGAGTATTCGCAGAATCTAACGGATTAAAGGGGAGGGGGGGGCGTAGTGTACGCGGATTTATGCGGCCGCGCGTGTGGGGGTGTATCACGGCGTGACTGAATCAGGAATCTCTCCGATCCTCGCGGAGGCTACCTAGAGAAATTCTTTTCCCCTCTTCGTCCCGCAGCAACTACCTTCTCCTCTCTCGTTCGTTCCAGACACGCCGCTGGACATCGTGATACATAGATGCATTATACGTTCTTTCTATCCTCGTCTCTCTTTTCTCGTTACTCTCAGTCTTGTTCCACGTTTTCCTATGCTATCAGCGCAGTTATAATTCCGCGGTGCAAACTCCATAATCCAGTGACCATAGGCTAGGTACCAGTTTTCTAATGCGTGAGCCGCGGCAGGCGATCATTTCCTCGGATTATCGTCGATCGATCGCCAGGCAAATCGCGGTGGTCAGCACCGTTTGTCGAGTTTTTCCGCGCCGAAACACCGCCAATTGCTAATTCCCCCTCTCCACTCCCACTCTCTCGCGATCAATTATTTCGGATTGATGCTCAATTTACGTGTTTACGTGGAAAGTGATTCGAGCACGCTGCGGGGTGTACGCTATTTATCGCGGAGTAACGTGCGTTTCTGTGAACATGACTTAATCTTATTCTACTATGCTATCTATCAATTGGTCTCGACTCGTTTGTTCCTCGTTTTGTTCATAATTTAGGAAGTTATAGCGTGGTATTTTTGCTCGTCCTGGGAATTGGTTTCCTTTGGAACGTGTACAATAGATAAGAGCGGAGTTTGAATTGGGAAAGATAAAGATTTTTACATGAAGGTTGACGTGTCGTTTCTCAGACGGTTGAAACAGATATCACGGTCGTTGCGTGACCACGTTATGCCACGTTTGTACAACGTGTAACAAGCAGATAGTACGTTAATGCTCGCTTGATCAGCGAGTTGGATCTTGCTGTTAAAAAGTTGCATTCCGAACGGCTAACATGGTAACAGCGAGGGTTACAAATATTTCATAAAGATAACGTAGTTACTCTTGCGTATGAGTTATATTTTTATTTAATGACACATTTACACGACGTTATAATTTCTATTAATGTTCGAATTATGACAGAGTTGGAAAATTTCGCTCGAACAAAACATGTGACTCTAATTTGTGAATATTATTCACAGAGATTATTTCCTTTTCATAATGCATCGCGCAATTAGAGAGGATCGACGACTGAGATACGACAGTGGTTTTTAGACATCGACTTTACTTCTTATAAATTTCCCAATCTCATTAACCAGCTACATATTTAGTGCCTTACTGCAACAACAAAATTCAGTCCAACAAAACCGTACTAAATGTCTAATTGAATAAACTGGTGTCGATTGAATCCACTTATCCGAACGTGAACTTTGATTATACAAACTATTTGTCCACGAATGAAGTCATGTAAAATGAATCCTACATCTGAAATGATTTTTACAAGAATACGTAAAAATAATTCGTAAATACCATCACTCGAATAACTAAAAATATCATCGCTCTTCTCTACTTTTCATCTTATAAATTCGATCGGTCTAGCTTCTAAACGATTCGCACGATATCTAACGAAAATCCAGTGAAACGCGAAGAAATACGCGGAAAGTCGAAACCGTAACCGTTAATACGGCAGTGTAGGTGTGTATAAGTAAAAAAATGAAACGAGCGTAATACCGTTGCCGGTTAGATTAGGGCCGGAACTGTTGTGTAACCAAAAACATCTGCCAATCTGACATCACCTGCCCCGTGTTACCTATTTCTAGTTAATTTATCATCCATTTTGGACGAAGTCAGAAATCGAAAGACGTCGAGGCTGGCTTCTCGAGCAGGGCTAGATCTCAATATAAAACTTCGCTCTTTCCTCGGACCATGGTCTTTCATTATACGATAACATCTTAACTGCTACGCCAGCATGCGAATTCTCGATGGCGCACGGTTGTTCCGCCGATTCGCGCTAATAAAGCCTCGATATCGCAGAATTTCTCGCCAAGTCGCAGGTCAGAACGCGGAATAAGTTAATTGTTTAACCGCCTGCGAGAAATTTCGTACGAGAAACAGATTGGAAACACGTTCAATTCTAGCGAGAATGATCGTCTCGATGAGTAGGCGTTCGAGCAACGTAGCGGTTTTCAAGCGAGCTTTTTTTTGAAACGAACAGTAGGAAATATCGGATATTTACAGAAAAGTTTGTGAATTTTTATATATAAAAATTGAACGCGTGATTTTGAATACTTAATAATTCCAAGTTTGACTAATTCGAGTATCCGTCGATGACACTCGTTTCAATTTGACAATCCAAATAGATTAGCTCATTAAACTGCCTGTCAATCTTGAATATTTGCAAAGAAATTTGTGAATTATTTCTACGAACGCTTAATGTGTAATTTAATGTAGTTTCGAGTATTTAGAATTTCGTCGACTGATTAATTCACAGACCTCCTTAAATCTGAAAAGTTTGGAAACTAGAAAATGAGGAAATAAAAATTTCTCGATATGAAATTACGTTTACGCGAATTTTTACGTAGCGATGTCGCGTACAATTGAATAGCCACGTAAAAATTGGAACGTGTTTTAGAAAAGGCGTTTGAAAACCACTGAGGAAGGGAGGAAACGCGTCGAATGAATTTGATGGCGTGACGAACGCTGTGGATGACTACGTATTTCTAGGAGGATTCATTAAACAAAGCCGATATATCGATTCCACCTTTCCTTCAACGACACAACAAGCTGCCTCTTCCGCGAAATATTGTTGCCACTAATACGATCGATGAATTTGATTACGGCCTACCTATCGACCAGCGACGAAGGTTGCTCGAACTTGTAGCAAAGTCAGAGTAATTTTCGTCCGACTAATAACAGATACGATATCACAACGATTGACGCAACTCGTTGGTAAAATCGTGTTTCTTTCGAATTAAACAATTTACGCTTACAGAAATTCGATATTTCGCGAGGTAGATCGTAATAAGCTAAATTGCAATTTTGCAAAAATGTATATAACGTTTAGTTAGTTAAACGTTTTCTCTACGAAATATTTTTTAAATTACGAGTTGAAAGATATATACAGCTGCAAATGACACGTTGTGGTTCGCGTGTGATTGTAATTCTTTATAATAAAAAGCCTCGAATATCGTAAAAGATACGGCGTGACATACGTGAAACAATTTTCGTGTCAAACGCACGTTTAAACGGTTCTGAAATAAAGACATAAAACCTCCTTTTAAAATTCATGCAAAGAGAACTATTCCTATAATCCTATCTACTCACGAGCGCACTGCTAAAATACGGAAACAGTTACGTAGATTCATATCTTTTACGTTATTTGAGGTTTCCATGGGATTTCACTGGTGATACCATACCTGCAACCTCCCAGGTATAAGTGGTATCCTTTCAAAATATTCTTTCAACGTTCCACTATCATCCCGGGCAACTTCATCAGAGATTCCAACAGGCACAAAATCACCGATCTCTATCTCCGAACCACGTTCCAGTAACATGTGAAAGATCTAAGATATTTCCGACGTATAATCACGTTCTAATTGATGGGACGATGAATTAATCTCGGAATCGTAAGGATTTTTATCTCGTTTAATAAGATATTTCATAATTTTAGGTGCAAAGAGAAAAGTTTTAGAAAATACGATATAAAAATATAAATAACAATACAAATATAATATTTACGATATGACGTGATATTTACGATATAATATTTCGCAAAAGTTAAAAATTATGGCGTAGTATATTTCAATCTAAATTTGCCAATGTGTTAACTAAACTGACGAGACGCGACGTAAGTCACTCCGAAGAATTATAATCACATCTGAACGGAAAGTCTCCACTATCCGTGTGAAACGAAAGAATCGCGTCGATTCCGTGTTCCGTGGACGACCCTTCACGCGGAAAGACAATCGGTGGACGCCAAAATGCGAAACGAGCAAATAATACGCGGAATATAATCGTCGCTCGGGAGAAAGTGGAGAATGAGCACAGGTGGTTGATGAGTTCGCACTCAATGACGGAAGGGGAAGAG